CAGGCCATGCAGCTTCAGGGTGAGGGGAGGCCCAGGTGGTTGGGGGCTGGTGTCAGGGCCTAGTATCCCTGAGACAGCTGGGCTTTCTATGCCAAGGTGCCAGGAACAAACCATCTGGTCATTCAGAGCAGGAATGGTGGTCCCTGAGCCTGGGACTCAAAGAGCTCACAGCTCCTCTGCCCCACCATTTGCTGCACCACCATGATGGGCCTGTGACATGTTAAAACCCCCCATGCTCACACTTCGAGGGAGCTGCAGCACCCCAGGCCACTGAAGAGGGACAGAAGCCAGAGGACTATGGGTGTGGGGTCTGTAGGGCCCCTGTACCTCTGAGGGATGGGCTACCTTGGGCAGTGCACCTTCCCCCTCACTGGCCAGGGGTAGGGTGACAGCATGACCCCCTGGGCTCTTGGCTCACTGCTCTCTTGGGCTGGGCATGAAGGCCGTAGGGACCCAGCCCTGGAGTGCCAAGACAGGTCTGCCCAGTGGGAGCAAAGTGCCCTTACCCTGTGCTCAGCCCAGCCCTGGAACTGAGCCTGTCTCCCTTATCCCCCAGGATAGCTGTGGGACCAGCGGTGGTGTGAGTGCCAACACCAGGCCCTTAGCAGTCTCTGTCCTTGTTGACTTTGGAATGTTTTCCTCCATGGGAAAGTTCAGTTTCTGGATTCAACTCAGGGCCATGTGAATCCCAGCTGGGTTGGCGGGAAGGCTGTCTGTTGGCAGTGAGGTGATGCTGCCCTCCCTTCCTGCCCACCTAAAGATGCCTGGCCTCTCCCTCTGGGCCAGCCCTTGCTCCAGCCCATGGACCCACCTAAGCCAGGGCCTCAGATTCCAGGAGGGTAGGCTCTGTGGCCAGCACACATGGGGCATCCCCCCCAGTGAAGGGATCCTCACATCTTAAGCCTAAGCCAGGGACAGACCCAGGTGGTATCCAATATGCCCCACCTATGGCTGCCATGCCCCAGCCTCATCAGCAACCCACTTAGCACTTCCCTGCAAATCCCAGGGCACTTTGGGACAGCCAGCAGTCAGACATGCCACACCCTGGCCATCCAGGGCCAGAGCCCAACACTGAGTATGCCTGTGACTGACCAGGGAGCAGCAGGGAGGACCTGTACTACACACCTGGGCTCCTTATGTACGAGGAGCCCTCTCTCATTTCATTCAGAAAAAGGCCAGTTCGTGGAGACCCAAACTCCCACGAAGTGGAGTGCACACTGGCCCCAGGACATGCAGCAAGTCTGTACCCTGACAATGTCCCCCAGACACATGGACACTGAGCAAGAACCACGAGCGGTAGCAGCAGCACTGCCCAGCACCCACCCATGATGGAGGCAGGGCCCAGAGGCAGCAAAGCCTGTGCTGCCCACTGAGATGTTCTACACTCTGTGTGTGACGCCCTCTGGCTGCTGCTGGAAAACTGGGGGCTGGCAGTGGCTGTAGCCATCCAGGTGAGTGGGCAGGGAACAGGGGTGGACTTACCAGGCATTGGCACTTAGAGGGATCAACCCCTCCTGCCGAGGCCGCCAACGGGGCTATGGGGCTCAGTGCCAAGGAGAGGTTTTTCTTCTAGGCGCCGGGCTTGCAGCCCAGCAGCCAGATGGCTTTCTCTGCCACGGGAATCTACAGCTGGCCTCCTCTCGAGTCTTCTCTTATGTTGTTTTTTGCTGGAAAATCTATCCTGCAAGTTTAGTGGGGCACTGGCCAAGAGGAGCTGGGCGGGGGTGGCGGGTGATCCTGGCCTCCTTGGAGCCTGCTGAGTCCCCACTGGGGAAGAAGCCAGCCTGGGGTGGGGGTGGGGGGTATAGCTCTGGCCCCAGCCCTGCCCAGAGAAAGGCCTGCAGGAAGCCACAGCTCGGTCAGTCCCTGGCCAGGGGAGGACGCCTTGGGCAGAACAGTGGCCCCAGGGTGGCCTGCCCCCTTCACTCCTGCTCCAGGGGCTCTGTGCTGAGTGTGGGGCTCTGTGGCTGGAGGGTGTGCCTTGCTGTCCAGTTACCTCCGTTGTCACTGTCGACCTCTCAAGAAGAGCCTCTGGCTGTGGGATGTGCACGAGTCAAGGACTTTTGCCTTTTGGTTTGTTTTTACCGTCTTTGTCAATAGCCACTCTTGTGCACACCCGCTCTCTAGTCCCCACCAAAGGATGCAGGATGGACCTGTGGCCCTACCCCCCGACCCCCCGCCAGGCCTCAAGTCCAGCCCCCAACATGCACTCACACGCTACATGCACCAGCCAGCACTCCCTGCCCATCCCGTGTCAGAAGCAGACGTGTTACTGCACTTTCTTTTTAACACGCCTTAGTAGAAGCCCAAATTGCACAGATCTTTGTTCTCTATATAAATTTGGGGATAAAATAGTTGGATTTGTCAAGAATAAACTGCTGGAATTCTCACTGGTATTGCAATGAATGTCTACAATGGGAGAAATTAGGGATACAAGGTAAACACCCACCACGAGCCTGTCTTGGCACCCCTGGCCCTGCTGGGAGCTCAGAGAGGCCTGCTACACCTTGGCTGACCCATGAACCGGCTGTTGGGCTGTGAGGCATGTGCTAATCCATCATGTCTGGGGCTTGGAAGGGGTGCAGCGCAGGGCACCCAGGGCTAGGGATGGGGTGCAGTGCAGGGCACCAGGGCTCAGGAGGGGGCTGGTCGTAGCAGTTTGCAGCTACCAGCAAGGGCTCGGGTGAGGCAGGCCTCTGACCTGTACCAGGGATGTGCTGATGTTGCTGGGTTTCCTGTACATTTGGCAACACTCAAACCTCTTGTCCCTTCTCATCTGATCACCTAGACCACATCCTCCCGTGCAGCTTCAGACTCTGGAAGACAACTTCAGACACCCATTTCATGGAGTGGACTGAGGTTGAGCAGGAACAGCACTCTCCAGGGCCCTGCAGGTGGGTACCCCTTTCCCCTTGGAACAGCCCTCCCCTTCATGGTGGGGGAAGAGGACCATTGACAATCATTTACACACAGTCCTGTTTTTGGCCCTTCCATCTGGGATTATAGCCACACTTAGGCTCTTGGGCTTCCAGGCCTCCTGTCTCAGGAAAGTAAAGATGAGGCTCCGGGACTGTGTTTAGAAAAGGGAGAGAGGCCACCCCCACCCCCACCCCCTGGGCCTTAGGCCAGAGGTCAGGGCAGCAGGTCAGCTCTTCCCCAGGCTCCTCCAGGGCCACCTTTCTAGCCTGAGACCCAAGTCCTCTCTCACACCAAGAAGCCAGCAAGGCCAAAGCTGAGTCACGACCAGCATCAGCACCTGCCCCACCCACTAGCCAGGGCTCTGAGGGGCAGCATCCACTTGTAGACGGCAGAGGCACTGGTCTGAGCCTGCCTGGAGCTAGGGTAGGGGCCTGATCCAGGTGGGTTGGGGGCCTGAGGAGAGCGTTCTGCCAGAGGAATCGGCCCATCCTGCCTCTGCTCCAGACCAAGGTGGGGCTGACAACCTGAGGGGCTGGCACTGCATCTGTCGCCCTGAGGAGGGGTCTCAGGTCCCTTGCCACCCAAAGGGCCACCCGGTGCCTATCTGTGCCATCTGGACACTCTCCAGGGGTATCTGCATGGAAATATTTCCATTTAGGATTTGGTAGCAAAGTTCATGATATCTCACAAATCCTATTTTGTCAGTATTTTTCTAGTTATGTAAGATATATACAAATCTAACTTTCAGCCTTCATTCTTTGTTAAGTATTTATGTTTAACACTTTTAAGTTTTCCTCTAAGTTTCAAGTCAAAAGTTCATTGTGGGGCTGTTGTGAGGACCCACGTGTCCCAGAACAGCCACGGCTCTGCCCACCCACAGCAAGCCCTTGTATGCCTGACCAGCTTGCTGCCTGACCAGCTTGCTGCCCCACCCTGCCCATCTGTAACTTCCACAACATGGAACGGCCACTTCAGAAGTGTCCTGAGGCCGGGGGGGGGGGGGGAAATAAAGAAAAACAGAGCTGCACCGTGGACACAAGCGGTGGGAGAGAGGAGGCCACAGCAAAGAGAAGCAGAGGGGCGGTGGCTGGGCCAACCACTAGCCTCTCTGGGATGGAGGCTGGAGATGACTTGGAGCTCTGTACTACCAAATACTTCATGCAGGTGTGGGGGCAGAATGGAGGCATTCTCCACAAGTTAGGGACAAACAGGTATTTGCAGGCTGTGTCCCCAGGCCTTGGGGCACAAGGCGTGGCACAGCAGGAGGTGGTGAAGAGGAAACCGTGGTCAAGTCTCTGAGACCCCACCCTGCCCTGCAGAGCCACCATCTGAGATGAGCAAATGCAACCACACAGGCAGGCCACAAAGGCGAAGCCTGGGCTGTAACCCGGAGGGCAGAGGACCGGCAGAGCCACAGGTGGGAATCTCAGGACTACACAAGGAGGGTGGACTGCATGCTGAGTGCCATAGATGCCAGAGAGGGCTCTTAGCAGAGGACAAAGCCCTGCCCGGGCATCTCACCAGGTGGCCCTGAGGGAGGTTCAAGGGCCTCTGCCAAAGGGCACCACCCAGGCTCCCAAAGCCTGGAGGCTAGATTCAGGACACAGGAGTTTGAACTTGAGCTCAGGCAAGGAACGACCCCTCCTGGCCTTCCGTGCGTTTCCTTTGGTATAATCAGTTGTCCTAGAAGCTTCTTGTGTTCAACTGCAGAGGACTTGACATTGGTCCATCCTCCTCCTCCAGCCAGTACCTTCCCAGGTCGCAGGCCGGCTAGAGGATGTGTGCCAAGAAGGAAGGGTAGGACACTCCATGGGGGAAGATGGTGGGCACTTGGGTCATGCCCCACGCAGAGCACACAGGCTACGTCCCTTCTGCAGTGCCACTTCAGGCCTCCATCTCCAAGCCTGGATCCCTTGGGCCCCCGCAGGTCAGTGGACGGGGGAGGGGTCCAGCATGTATAGAGGTCACTGCCCACTCCTGGGTCTCCCCAGGGCTGTGGCTTCCAAGTGGCTGAGCCAGCCCTGCAGGACCCAGACCCAAAAGTGTCCTCAGGAAAGTCACAACAGACGTGACGCACACAGCTCTTTCCGGGATTTTTATTTCTTTAAAATAATTCATACAAATGGTTACAGTCACAAACATGATTTAACCAAAATATCGCTAGCCTACCACATCAGCAGGACGGCACCGGTGCAGGCGGGGACGCTGTGCCCTCCACGTCCCTCAGGACAGACGCTGGCAGCAGCACCCCGCGTCACCCACTCGCCCCTCTCTGAGCTGCCTTGTGATGCCGTCTCTATTTGGAGCAAGGGGGTTCATGCCAAAATTAGGAAAAACAGCTTTTGTTTTTCTAAATTATTCTAAAAATAAGACAAGCAGGTAGAAAAACAATGCACTGTGTGGCATAAAAAGAAGCACGGGAAGGATTTGTTGTCCTGAGAAGTTTGCCAGCTGCCGCACTCCCGGATGCTCCTAGATGGGAAGGGACACAGCTCAGCCCCCTTGCCGAGAGCTCCCTCAGGGTTCTCTTTGTTGACAGCTAAGCAAACAAATCCTTTGTAATGTTCTAAAAACTGTACACAGACAAGAACATTCATGATAGAATTAACTACTAACTTCTTTTGCTTAACGAGGAACGCAAAGGACACAGGACAGCCAGCCAGCCCACAGGACGGGACAACTACAGTGACTCGGGGTTGGGGGGGCATTGCTGCCCCACCTTCCGTGCAGCCGGACAGTCTCTGGAGCGCTGCGGCCACCACAAGGTGCCACCTCCACCCACTCCAGTCCAAGGGTTGCAGGCCCCTGCCCAGGTGCTTAGCCTGGGGAGCTCTTCACGGCTACAACTGGTCACTTGCGTGGTCTCTGTCCGCCTCGGGCTTGACAGTCTGGCCAGGAGAAGGAGCGTGGGGTGGGTGGGCCACAGGGGGTAGGCCATGGGACAGGGACATGGCGCTGGGGACAATGCCTTCGACTGCAGCCGGGATGCCAGTGGGGGCCACGCCCACCACGCCTGGGGGGTACCTGCTGGGAAAGGGGGTCCACGTGTGAGGCCACCAGCTGCTCACTGAGGCAGACATCCAGGGAGGCTGGACAGTAGGAGGCTGCTTGCACAGGGAACCTCAGGGCCTCGCCCAAGCTCCTGCCCAGGGGTGGCCTCTGCCTGGTGGCCCTCACCAACACCCCAGCCCAGGCTTCTTCCTGGGGCCCTGGTCCTGATGGGCCTCCCAGATAAGGAGCTCCCATCTGCCCTGATCCTCGATGCCCAGTAAGGGCAGCACAGGAGCTCTTGGCCACCTGCTCACCTGTAGGCGGCCCCGTTGAGCTCAGGGTGCACAACAGCTGGGTCCATGCTGGCCCAGTGGGTGGCAGTTGACAGGTGATCCTTGTTGACACAGTTTTTCAGGCTGTCTGGGATCCGTCCTGGGAGATGCAGGGAGGCTGACTCAGGTGCCCCTCAAGAACACTCCATGGTGCACAGTAGGGTCCTGTCGGGGGCCCATCACCCTCGTGGCCTAGGAACTCCCACCCAGAACACCATCTGCTCACTGTTGGGAGCTCCAGACAGCAGCTCAAAGGGACCAGCTCGCAGCTCTTCGTGGGTAGGATATGACCTTTACTCCAAGGGAGCACAGTGTCCCCTGTGCCCACATGAAATGGGCGTGGTATAACAAGAGGAAGCCACGAGCACCTCCTCCACTGTCTGGCAGACAGAGCCTCCCAGAGCACCCAGTGGTGCCAGAAGGGATGCGCAGCCCCATCCACCCACACCCACCTGTGATGGCCCTCCGGATCTCCCGGGCCGCCTCCTCACGCATCTCAATGGATGCCTGCTCGCTGTACCATGCGGCATGGGGGGTGCAGATGAGGTTGGGTGCATCTTTCAGGGGGCCCTGGCTGAAGCTAAGCACAGTGTACAATGCAGTCAGAGAGGCCCAAGGCTGTGGCCTGGGGACCCAGGCAGGCTGGATATGGCAGCAAGACACTCGAGCATTGCTGGGGCAGGGGCAGATGGGCGGTCTCCTCCAGCAGAAAAGCCTCAGAGCTGCTCTGATATCCCCCCACCTCTCAGGGGCCGAATACCCACCCAGCCAGTCTGTGGCCCCAGCACCCCCACCCTCGGAACCTCCACTAGAGTCCCAGAAGGTCAGCCCAGAGTGGTCATGCCTGAGCCCTTGGCTGCCTGAGGCCAGGGCCACAGTGACCATTCATGGCTGTCAGGGCCTCATGCTCTCCTGGCCCCTGGCAACACAGTGGCCAAGGCAGGCCTGGCCCCTGGGGGCTCTGGTCCTCCCAGACACCATACCCAGAGAGAGGCCTGAGCCTGGATAGCTGCCAGGCTGGGTAGAGGCCCAACCAGGCCATAGCAGGTGGGGGAGGGGGACAAGAAGGGGGTACCTGAAGGGCTCTGACTCGTGCACGTCCAGGGCTGCACCACGGATCCGGCCCTCCTTTAGGGCCTGGGCCAGGGCCTTCTCGTCCACCAGACCACCTCTGGCTGTGTTCACCAAGAAGGCCCCTTGTCTCATCTGGGAGGATAACGTGGGGAACAGTTAATTCAGATGCTGCCCTGCCTACTCCAAGGGCATGTCTGCAAGCAGAGACCACCCCACCCGCCAGGGGGGACCTGGGGCCCAGAGCACTGCATAGGGGAGGGTTGTGGCAACAAGAGGGGAGGACAGCCCACCAAGTGAAGTCTAGGTGTGGGTGACCCTGGTCCGGCCACCCCTCTGTGCCCTCCATGGCCCAGAAGGACTCTGGCCTGGGTGGGGCTAAGGGCCTTATAATGTACCCCCAACCCGCTGTGTCCCACCAGAGGCTCATTTCGGATCTGTTTTTGCAAAAGACCCTTAGAACTGAAGTCCCCCACTTTGTGGTAGGGCATTTCCCGTGACTCAGCCATGTGCCTGGGAACAACTGCCTGGGCCTGAGTGGCTTGGGGAGTTCCTGCGCCCACCTCACAATGAGGCTCTTAGGAAGGCAGAACTCTGAAATGCGCCTACACCATGTCGTCCCGGGGGCTCCAGAGAAAGGGCAGCGGACGCATGGTCTCATCTTCCGTGGGGTTGTGGGGTCTGGGCAGAATAAGTGGGCAAGGAGCCCCCATGCGTGCACCAACAACCACTGTCCCCCAGGAAGGTAAGGGCTGAGGCCAGACAGAGGCTTACTTTTTGGTGATGCTTCCAAGGTGTGGACTTAACACCTTAGCCTGGTGACAGGGCACTGAAGGGCGCACCAGCTGCCCTGACACCCTCAGGCTGCTACACTGGGATCTTGGCAGTTAGAGGTGAGTGTGTGGCTTTGCCTCTACTACACACAGCCCCGCACTTGGGATAGGACACTCACGGTGTCCAGAGCAGGGCCAATGGCCCCAGGGTACTGCCCAGGGAAGGCAAGACCCCCAGGCACAGCTGGGTTTGGGGAGACCAATGTCCCTTGTCACCTGCCACGCACCCACCTGCTTAACGGTAAAGTCGTTGATGAGGTGGTGGTTGTGCTCATTGAGGCCGCAGTGCAGGGTGACGCAGTCGCTATGGAATAGCAGGTCCTGCAGGGTGCTTACACGCTGCAGGCCCAGTGCGCGCTCCACGCCGTCAGACAGGTATGGGTCGTAGAAGAGGACGTTGAAGCCAAAGGCCTTGGCCCGCAGTGCCACCGCCTGCCCCACACGACCTGGAGGGGTCCAGACACGACATGAGCCTGTGTCCCCACAGCAAGGAGGTCTGGGGATCCCATGCCTGTATCATCTCCCAAGGGACGTCCTGGGACCCTGCTGCCGTGGCCAAGCACTGGGGGCACGGGTCAGCTGGGTATCTTATCATGGGTGTTGCGACCACCTGCCCTGGCCATGGCTAACACGCCACTTGCTGCACTACCTCCTGCGGCCTGTCCAGCATCCTGCAGGAGCAGTCAGTGGCATCCCCACAGCTGGCTTGAGCCCTGTGCACTGAGCCCCTCCTTGGGTCTATGTACAGGCTCACCAGAGAAGAGGTTGCCCTGTGGGGTTCACATCTCACAGGTGGAGCGTGTGAGCAGTAACTGGTATTCCCATGGCCTGCACAGGCCCTGTGCAGAGCCCCCTCCTTGGGTCTATGTACAGGTCCCCACCAGAGGAGGGGGTGCCCGTGGGGTTCACATCCCACAGGTGGGGTGGGGCCTTGCCACATCCCATTAGTGTATACTCCCTGCCCTGCTGTCCAAGGCCCCGAGGAGATGGGGGTCCTGGCGTGGGACTGGGGCTAGGCCCTGCGCAGGAAAGGGCCTGCGGGGCACACAACCACTACACCCACAGCTCAAGGAAGTTGGACACAGCTGAGGGGGACACGGGGTACTGCAGAATACAAATGTCATCTCTCCTTTGTAATGTGAGAAGGAAACTGCTCCAGAAGGACAGGGCCTAGGGGGGCTGGGCTGGGTGGGGCGGGAGGGCAGACAGAGACAACTTACAGAGTGTCTGGGGCTGGGGCAGGCCCCCCAACAGGTGAAGTACATGGAGATGGAAGGGTGATGGGAAGAGACCAGAAACAGCCAGGGCAGAGGTCCGGCAGCAATCTGATTGCTAAAGAGACCAGGCTGCCAGGCCACGGGCTGGGGACAGGCTCAGGGGCAGGGCTAGTAGACAGTCAGGAGAGCCAAGGACTTGGTCCAAACTAAATTCTAGAAAGAGATGAGCCTGCTCTACCTGTGGGGACAAGGCCAGCCACTGGTGGGGGCACCTAGGGGAACCTCCAGAGAAGCCCCCAGGCACAGGGACATGGCTGCCACCAACTGCCCCCAGGGTCTCCCCTGAGTAAGCAGATGGAGCTGAGCGCTGGGCAGGAGAGGAAAGAGAAAGGAGCAGGGAGACAAAGAGACAGAGAAACAAAAAGAGACCCCCTGCAGCACAGATAGCTGGAAGGAGCCCTGTCTCCAGCACTTGGATGGGAAGCCTGGGCGGCACCAGGACCTGTGGTGAGTGCCACCAATGGCGCCTCCCCCACACCAGCCCAGTCTGGCAGGAGGGAGACAGCCATTCTGAGAAAACCACACTGACACACAGGCACCGGGATGGGCCAGGGAGCTCATGATAGAAGCCCACAGTCAGAGGACACTACCCACACTAAAGAAGACAGGAAAGAATTGAGACTTACAAGGTTATTAATAATAAACGGTCTAAAATATGTGTAAATGAAGTCCCAGAAGGAAAGGAAACAAAGAAAATGGTAAGGAAGAAATATGCAAAAAATCAATAGCTAAGAACTTTTTTAAAGTGATGAAAGACGAGGCTCAGAAAATTCCAACCAGTAAATACAAAGAAAACCACACCCAGGAATGTCACTGTCAACCTGCTAAAAAAAAAAAAAGGCCAAACATATAGTGAAACAGAAAACAGGTACGCCCACTCAGGGCTAAAGTAATAAAGAGGACGGCTGACTGCTGCTGAGAAACAACAGGAGCCAGTGGACAGTAGGCATCCGGGAGGTACAGAGACACCCAAAACACAGCCCACCTGGAACTCCTCACCAAGGGGACACATCCTTCAGAAATAACGGGAAAGGGCCAGGACCTTTGGCCATGCTAGGGAGAGGGAGATGCTGAGATGGGGGCAGTAGCAGTGGTAGAAGTGGACCACACTCTCTTTGTGGTCAACCATGAAACTTAAGTTACAAAGAAGCTCCTTTTCCAGCTTTTCCACCAGGCTGGGCCAGTAATAAAAATGAAAATTCCGAAAGATAAAGATGGTAAACCAAGCTTGATACCAGCCACATGCATTGAGGCTGACAAGTTTGAGCCCGGTCCAGGCCTGCTATAGAACAATGACAACTGCAACAGAAAATAGACAGGCACTGTGGGCAGGCACCTGTAGTCCCAGCTACTTTGGAGGCTGAGGCAAGAGAATCACTTCAGCCCAAGATTTTGAGGTTGCTGTGAGCTGTGACGACACAGCACCCTACTGAGGGTGATATAGCAAGACTCTGTCTCAAAAAAAACCAAAAAAAAAAAAAAAAAGGTAAACCAAAGCAATTTCCATTTGCAAATTTCAAACATGAAGTATCTGTTCCTTTTGCAATGACTCTGCTTAATGGAATCAAGGTTTTTGGAAGGCCCATCAAAATTCAGTTTAGATTAGGAAGCAGTCATGCCTTGCAGGATGTCAGTTTGTCATATCCCAGCATCATGTTGGAAATTCAAGTCCTACTTCCACATCTCCTAGCAGCAGATAAGAAAGGACTGTGGACATGACTCCATCATCACAGATAATTCAGAGGTCTTTCTCCTCTCCAGAAAATTTTCATAGATAAGCAGTGATGAATAGTGTTTTGAGACAGATGTCCTATGGTGGAAAATATGGTTCTCCACCTCTGGATCAATCAGGATTTTCACCATCAGTTCAATTACATCATACTTTTACCCAGTCTTTAAGCATTCTCCATTCTCAATCCCTACTTAGCAGATAAGAAATTATGGCCGGGAACAGCATTACAGTGATCATGGGTCTGACCTTCACTATAGAGGAAACAGAAGATTTCTTCTATGAAGACAGAAGAGACAGTAGTGGAGATGGAAATGGCCCTTATCTCAACACAAATAAAGGTTTAAAATACACTTTTCTTAATAGGGTCATTTTAGGCCCTTTGACTCAGTTGATCTGGAAATAATTTTGTTGAAAACTGTACAGAGCTGCTTTAGAAGTTGACAGTTATTATTACTTTTTTTTTTTTGTCACAGTTTGGCAGGGGCCAGGTTCGAACCCACCACCCTCAATATATGGGGCTGGCACCCTACTCACTGAGTCGCAGGCACCACCCAGAAGTTGACACATTTGTTTATAAATTTTTAAAAACCTAGTTACAATTTAATACAGATATGAGAAGAATTGTGGTTCCAGTTTTATTATATTAATAACCTTTCACCTCAGGGTTTTATAAAGAGGAAAGAGTTTTATACAAAAAAAAAGTGCCACAGTTCCTAATCATTTTAGACACTTTAGTAAGTGAATTATATAGCTTGGTTGTAGAATAAAGCAAATATTTTAAGTATTTGTTATCTTTTTGTCTTGCAAGAAATTTCTTGTTAGTGAGCCAGATTTTAGTGTATATGATAAAAAACAATCCACAATGACAGTCTGAAATGGCTACTGGTATTTTGTAATAAGAAAATATAGTTCTCAGTGATTCATTTTACTAACATTTTATTTGAGAAAGCTGATTGGTAAAGTTCGAGGATAAATCATATTGCTCAAATTCTTAAGAGAATTTAAGTATAAATTCTGTAATGTGCTCTTGAGTTTTACCTCAGTTGAACATAAAAGTATAAATCTGCACATACTGTTTTATTCTAAAATTTTAGAATTTCTTCTCTAAATCATGTTTGTATGACTGAAGTCACTCAGGAAATTACATAGGTCTACATGTATATTTTTACATTTAAAATACAATGTTAGTGTAAATGTCCCTTTGAAGTACAAAAATGTCAGTGTAGGGTCAGATAAAATGATAAAATGTTTTACTGAAAGTCTACTTTTTTGGAAGAAAAATTCATAAAGCCGGACAGTGCCTGTGGCTCAGTGAGTAGGGCGCCGGCTCCATATACCAAAGGTGGCAGGTTCAAATCCAGCCCTGGCCAAACTGCAACAGAAAAATAGCCAGGGCTTGGTACCTGTGGCTCAAGCGGCAAAGGCACCAGCCACATACACTTGAGCTGGTGGGTTCGAATCCAGCCTGGGCCTGCAAAATAACAATGACGGCTGCAACCAAAAAATTTTGATGCCCAAAAAGCCAGGCGTTATGGCAGGCACCTGTAGTCCCAGCTACCTGGGAGATGGAGACAGGAGAATCACTTGAACCCAGGAGTTGGAGGTTGCTGTAAGCTGTGATGCCACGGCTCTCTACCCAGGGCAACAGCTTGAGGCTCTGTCTCAAAAAAAAATAAAATAACTGGGTGTTGTGGTGGGCACCTATAGTCCCAGCTGCTTGGGAGGCTGAGGCAAGAGACTCAATCCCAAGAGCTGGAGGTTGCTGCGAACTGTGATGCCATGGCACTCCACCCAGGGTGATGAAGTGAGACTCTGTCTCTAAAAAAAAAAAAAAATCACAAAGCCTTTAAGTACTGTCTCTATTAGACTTTAAAAATTTTAACACTGTCAAAGTGTCCAGCACATGTATAAGGACATGTTTTATGGAGATTGTACAGGTTGCTTTCGTTTGAACCTTTAAAGGAATTTATTCTTAATATTTTCTGATTTAAAATTTTTAAAATCTTGTTTAACAGAACTTTTATGTATCAAGATAGTTTCCTTTTTATTAAAAAGTTTATAAAAATTCATTCCTTGAAAAATATAGATCCTTTTTAATACCACAACATTTGTACTATGCTGCTTTATATTAAAAACATAAAAGAAAAAAAAAGAAAGAATGGAAGAATACATTTTCAGACAAAGAAAGGCTGAAAGAAGTTGTCACTAATAAACCACATTTCTAAAGATCTTTTAGGCCACAGGCCAATGGCACCAGGTGGGAGGTAGGGTTTGGAGGAAGAGGTTCCTGATAGGGAATGTGCAGATAAATACTGAGACCACCTGGAGGCCACAACCGCTGGTCACGCACACGGAGCAGGTGACAGTCACATGGAGCAGAGTCGGCGCTGCCAGCACAAAGGGCAAGAGGGTTATTATCTCAAGAGCCTCGCTGCCCAGGCTCCTCTGTCCTCACAGACACATGCTGACAGCTCAGGGAGACTAGAATGAGCTGAACATGCGTGTCATTGCCTCAAAAGTAAAACAAAAATGTCACTAAAACGACAGACTGTAAAGAACATAAAATGGAATAATTTCTTAAAAACTCGATTTATGTAAAAGAAGGCCAGAAAGGAGAAACAAGGGAGAAAGGACAGATGACAAATAAAAACAAACAAGATGACAGACTTAAATCCAACATGTCAGTAATTAGGTTAAAGTTAAATAAACATTCCTGATTAAAAGGCAAAGATTGTCAGGTTGAATAAAGAAAATGCAGCTAGGGTGGAGGGAGGGTGATTGGTAGGATCACGCCTATGGTTCATCCTATAAGGGTACATGTGAATCTCTCCAAATGTAGAATATAAATGTCTTAACACAATAACTAAGAAAAAGACATGAAGGCTATATGTTAACCAGCTGGATGAAAGTACTTCAAATTGTATACAGAAACAGTACACTATAACCCCATGATAGTATTAATGTACAATGTTATGATTTAATAAAAAAGAAAAGAAAACCCAGCTATACGCTGTTAATAAAAGTCAGAGTTGAAAAGTGGAAGGACGAAGGAAGATACACCACACAAACGTGAATCCGAAAAAAGCAAGGATGGCAATACCAGCAACAAACCTTTAGGGCACAAAAAGACCAACAACAAATATTCCCCTTAATGGTGAAATAACAGAAACTTCTCCTCCCAGGCTGGGAGTTAAGACAGCAATGTCACACTCCCTGCTTCTATTCAACATTGTCCTGGCAGTCACAGCTAATGCAAATGGGCAGAAATAAAAGAAACAAAAGGCACAGAGATCAGAAAGGAAAAAGCCAATATGTATTTGTTTGCAGATGATAAAACAGTGCAGGCAGAAAACCCAAGTAAGCAACAGACCAGAATTTGGCAGGGCTGTGGGCTGTGAAGTCAGTTTATAAAAGTTAAGCGATACTAATTAACAAACCCCTAGAAAACAAAATTAGAATATGTCACTTATAATAGCTGGTGTGGAAACTTTCTACACTGATAATTATCCAATATTGATAAGAAAAGTGGAAAATAATGGAGAGATATTCCATTTGAGTGCTGGAAGACTCAATATCATCACGAGGCCATCATTCCCCAAACTGGCACATGGAAAATGTAAAATGACCACCTGATTCTGAAACGGAAATGGAAATGTGTAGGACCCAAACAGCCAAGGTGACCTTGATGAACAAGGTGAAGGGTATAAACTACCAGATGTCAAGACTTACCACAGTTAAGACGGGTAGAGAGGAGGAGTCCCGAGACAGACAGGTCAGCGGGACAGAAGCCCCAAGACACCCTTCTCCTATGTAGCCAACTGATGGTTCAGCAAAGGTGCTAGCGCCACAGTGGCTCGGTAGGGGATGACCTCACAGTCCATGGTGCACAGTGCCTGCCACCTGCCACCTCACGGGAAAGGTGAATTCCAACTTCTACCCCACACCAGGCATCAACTCTAATTCCAGATCTCACTAATTCCTAGACTTCATGGTAAAAACTAAAGTTATGAAGCAACTAGAAGGAAACAGACTATTTGGGGGGTAGGACACACTAAAACTGAAAACTTGGCCATCACAGAAAGTTGCTAAAAAAGTGAAAGTGAAGCCACAGGCTGGGAGGAAGACCACAGTGCATTTTCCTCCCATGACGGCCGTACAGGCAGCTTGTATAGCAGCATCACAGACGCACAGACGCACAGACGCACACACACACTTGGGCTCCTGATGCCCAAGAAGTGGGTAAAAGGCACTTCACTTCCTAGTTATCAAGAAACAACAAACTAACATAAAAATGAGAAATCACTCCGTGCCTGCCTAAGAGGCTGACATCATGAAGGCTGATGGTGCCAAGTGCTGGCAGGGACATGCCCCAGGAGCATGGCATGCAGCCTCTAGGAGCAGCTCAGCACTTTCTTCCAAGCTAAACAAAGCCTTGCTCTGTGACTCAGCGATTCCACTCCCGGGTATAAATCTGAGAGAAATGAGTGTTAAGTGCACAATAGGCTGGTACGAGCATGTTCATAGCAGCTTAGTTATAATAACCAGAAATTTAAAGCAGAAAGTCTACCCACAAGAGACTGATAGCTGGACTGTGGTATGTTCACACAGTGGAACCCTGCCTTATTGGTGTAAGGTTGCACACAGACACGAAGGCCACACACTCCAGATTCCATTTCATCAGAGCTGATGGACAGACCTACAATGCCAGAAACCAGGACTCCAGCCCTGAAGACAGAAGCTGTGCTTTGACAAGGGTAGGGCCCCAGGGTGCTGTCCGGGTGTCAGGAAAGTGCTATGCCAACCTAAGCGCAAGTCCCTTGAGAGTGACATGCAAGGTGTTTTCCAGTGTGTACTTAACATAGGAAGAAGGGAGGGAGAAAAAAACAAGATTAAGATGTAAACTATGGTCACCACTAGCCCAGCACAGAACACAGCTGCCTCACTGTGTGCACGGTGCCACTAGCACCCCAAGCCACATAAATTGCTCACTGTTTATACTTGCATGTAGTCACCATCTGACAATCCCAATATTAATCATGTATATTTCATACTAAGAACAACCTGAACACAGGATGTGCAAACAGAAAGGACCTGGGGGCCCTCAGAAGAGCTATGAGGGGCTGGTGCCCAGGATGGTATCACTCCAGAGCACCAGGCTCTCCTAGGGAGGTGTGGACAGGGTTTCAGAGACAGACCAAGGGGGCTGAGGTGTCCCCACAGGTGCTCTGCAGTCAGGAGCACCATGCAGCCATGTGGTGGCAGTGGGGCCACCACTGCACCCTGGGGGGCATGACCTGCTCTCCTCAGCACCTCAGCACTTAGGATGGGGCACTGACCTGGCTGTAGTGGGGCCACAACTACACAGAGAGGGAGAAGACTATGCCAAGAGCCAGGAACTGAGGAGCAGCCTGGTGTAAAGACTGGTGAAGCAGTCAGCCCAAAGCCCCTCCAGCCAACAGCCCATGGTAACTTCAGGGATGCAAGTGGCCCTCTCCCCAAGGCAGGATGAGCATCCAGTGCCCAGACTACTGGAGGTGTGGGGGATGCACACACTCAGGATTCTAGAGGGCTCCAGCCAGCCCCAGGATCTGTGTGGGGACCTCAGCAGAACAGTGAAAGGCACGTCCAGTGAGCAGGGCCCCAGCACTCTCTCACAGATGCAGGCATCAATGACACCCAGACAACCCCAGATAGCCTCCCACTCCCCAGTGCTGGTGGGCAGGGCAGGCAGGAGTCGGTAAGTGGCAGCCTGAGCAGGTGCCAGAGGGCAGCAGAGGCCAGACCTGGGCACGGCCAGCTACTGCTGGCAGACAGGCAGGCAGCTCTAGGGGAGCTGTACTCTGGGGGGCAACGGCAGACGGTAGTCTCAGATGGTACCTAGTGGTCTTTAGAAAGGAGCTATCTCCACTGCATGAACCTGTAAGCACCTCCTGCCATGAGTGCGCCATGTATGGAAGCCCTCAATGCCCTTCTGAAGCCCCTTGCTGGGGGCTCCTGGCTGCCCCTTCCAGCTCTCCCTCCACACAGCTGTTCCTAGGATCCCCCATAGCACACATGTGCTTGCTTGTCTAAGCTTGGCCTAAGCCTGGCCCATGTGGGCACTTCTGACTGCTTCATGTGGAACCCAGCGCAGCGCCTGGCCCAGAACAGGCACCTGCCAAGCAATGGGGTGAACCATGAACAAGGGATGGTAGGGGAGGACATGAGCCACCCCCACCCTCTACCAGGGTGAACCCGGTAGGGGAACAGCAGGAAAAGGCCTTGGGAGCCACGAGTTGGGGGTATACAGGACCCTACATGCCATCCACATAAGACAATATGGGTGGGGACATCTGTGTGTGATGTCTGCATGTGAGGCCCATGTGTCATTGGTGTGTCAAGCTGCGTGTGACATCATGTGTGTATAGTGCACACCTGGAGTTCCCACATCCCCACCCTGCTGCCCATCCTCTGTCCTGTCCCAGGGGCTCAGGGATGACTCCTGCAGCCACAACCCACCCAGCCCCATCTTCTCCCAAGCATGAGTCGTGGGGTAGACACAGCTGGTGCCAGCTGGGCCAACATGCTGACCATGGCTAACACACCTAGTCCAATGATGCCCAAGGTCTCTCCACGGATCCTGGCAGCTCCAGAAGCCACTTCACGGATCTGCTCAACACTCTGCACCCGCGTGCCCTCCCGCAGCGCCTGGTGCAGCCAGGTGGTCCTCCGGTACAGGTTCAGGATGTGGCAGAGCGTCGAGTCGGCAGTCTCCTCCACGGACGCCGCTGGCACATTGCATACAGCAATGCCTGTGGGACATGGACACACACAGAGTCACCACACGTGGGATCCTGGCCTCTGGGAAGAACACCCAGGGCCGCCGGTCCTTAGTGTAACCCTTCATCAGCAAGAAGCCAAAGGACATGTCCCCACAGCCACCCTGGGAGGCCACCAAACACACACAGGCCACTCACATGTGGCAAAGCAGAGTGGCTGACCCAGCCCTGCACGTGTGGGGCTAGGCTCGTGTCCACCCCTGCTACGCTTCACAGCACACTCAGGACTGCTCAGTATGCAGAACCGAGGGACAGGCAGGGAGGCCGCCCTAACATCCTCAACACAGCTTCAGGAGCTGGCATGCAGGTGACCAAGCAGAGGCTAATGCACCTTCCTATACATCTCTGCCAGACCCATGCCCCAGCTTCCCGAGCACGGCCGGATCCTGCCCAGTCAGAACATGCTGCCCCCCCCAATCTATGCAGGCGGCCTCCCTGGCAGCCCCAGGCCAGGAAGGGCCACTGCCATGCCCTGTGTAGAAGTTCTGGAGGCCTGGAGGGTGAGGCTGATGCTCCTGTTCCATGTGAACTCAGCGTATCATGTGGACCGCCCCGTGCCCACCCAGGCCTCTTCCCCAGTGATGAGATGCCAGGAGGCCAGGAGGCCAGGAGGCCAGGAGGCTGCAGTGTCCTGTGAACCGTTTCATGTACCAGGGTGACACCCACTGTGAGGGGCCCATGCAGCATTCCAGAGCAGCCCACTCTGCTACAAAACAGAAACGTGGTCAAGAGGGGCCCTGGGAACGAAAGCACTGCCTGGGATGGGCAGCGACCTGGGCTTCAGTCCCCTGCTGGCCAGACCTGGAAGGGCTGCCTATGTCTCCTGGCTCTGGACAGAGCCCCATCCAGTAGAGGTACAAGGACCCAGAGGTAGCACAAAGTGGAGGCCCACTCAGAAGGCACCAGGGCTGCCACCCAGCCCCACAGCCCTCCCTGGGCTGCTGCCTACAGGTCCTAGCAGGGACAAGGCTCTGGCCACCCTGGGATGAAGGCTCCAACACCACCCGTTCTTCTCATAGAAAGGGGACGACGGACTTTGCAACACTGTCCACCACATCCTGGGAAAAGGGCCCTGCCAGAAACGAAAGGCACCAGCCAGCCAAGGGCCTAGAGAACACAATCCCACCCTGCAGCATGTCACCAGCAGAAGAGAAACAGGAGACGGCGTCGATGGCTAAGCACCAAGCATTCTTTGCATCCATGTGCACTTATGTGCACGCATGCAGATGGTGTGTGCTGTGTGCCTGTGCAGTGGGGGCATCTCAGCTTATATGTACCTTCCCCACTGAGCCTGAAGGACAGAGACCAGAAAGCCCCAACAGAGATGTGCTGGTAGTCCAGCCCCTGACCCGGGGGACCTTGCAAGGGCCCAGATAGGTTGGTGCTGCCCACAGACAAGGACAAGCACCCATGGGAAGCTTCTGAGGAAGCCACGTCTGGTAAAAACTGCCAGCTGCCTCCAGTCAGTCGGGCAGTCTGCAGTGGGGATCTTGTAAGGAAGCCAAGCATGATGCTGCATGGATGCCACAGAGCAGAGGCAACCGGACCACCTACCTAAGTCCCCAGCAGACTTGATGTCGATGTTGTCGAAGCCGCTGCCGATACGCACGATGATCCGCAGGGCTTTGAACTTCTCCAGGTCCTCTCGGGTCAGCGTGATGGTGTGGTACATCAGGGCCCCCACAGCCTCGTTCAGCACCTGGAGGGAGGAGACACACATTGAGCACTAGGGCCACCCAGCCCCACGCCACCCCTGGGATGAACTGCACCCCACTGGGCCCACTGCCCTCAGGTTCTGGCTCCCTGAGAACCAGCCCACCCTGTTGGTGGGCCATACAGACAACTCCCCAGGGCTGCCATAAGCTTCCTGTAGCTTCCACGCAGCCTCCACCACAGCAAGCGCCCCACTCAGCCTCCACAAGGACATGGGGGTCCCTATCCCCAGAAGATAAGGATCCCCAGCAAGGTTAACATGGCCATGAAATGCAAACATGGTCCCAAGGCAGGGCAGCCCATGCAGCCAGCTCCATGCCTGCCGTGTCCTCCAGTTCACGTGTATTTATGTTCTCACCATCCCCACAGCCTGGTCCTGTCCTGTCCACTCATCATAGCACTGACACCTCCTGATTGTCCTTCCCAGGACCACCACATGGCGATAGGGTCTCTGTCCTCTGGTTCACATCTCGGGACAGAGGTCAGAGCCTGTCCTGTGTGGGCACCACCTCCGGAGACCTGCTCCACCCACCACACCTACAGCACCAAGTTCCAGATTTTCCCTGAATTGGTGCCATGTCTGCCTACATACCTGCATCAACTCTATGAGACAGCCTCCCCACCTCCCTTGGCCTAGAGACACAGCTGGCCGACAGCACGCAAGTCCTTTCGTCTCCTTAGAAGCCCCTCCCAGAAAAGCTTTGTGGCCCCACCTGCACCTGCCTGAGGATGAGAGTGCCTTCCTGGGTCTCTGGGCCTGATTTGATGCCCCCACAAAAGTTCTAAGCCTCAGGAAGGCACCGTGGGGCCCTGTCTCCTGATCCTGACAGTGGGCATCATGGTGCCCTCTGGCACTATTCCTTGGACTGTGACCACTTAGCTCTGAAGTCTCCACTCATCAGAGAACTACATTAACACCACCACCTTCTACCCAGACAACATGAGACACCCAACTGGTGGAGGGAGTCTCCACCTCCTCCCACACCAGCCCCTGGAGACCATGGCACACCCAGGGGTCCCGGCTCCTGTCCTGCTGCTCCTATCCCCGTCTTGGTCCAGGGTGGCTGTCCAGGCTCCACCCATCACAGTTAGGTTTTTAGTCAGCAGAAAGAGGAAAGAGGGTTCTGTACATGAACGTCTGCCTTCCCCTCCCTTGACAGAACTTCACCAGTGGTGAGAAAGCTTAGGGAACCAAGTCTCTCTTCAGGACTGCATGCTGTGGAGACAAGGGCATTTGAGGGACCAAGAGGTACCAGCAGACTTGGGAGTTCCTGGGAGGCCTTCGTATCTGTTTCCTCTGCTGCTTCTATCTCTTTCTTTTTTTCTTTCTTTTTTTTTTTGAGACAGAGCCTCAAGCTGTCCTCCTAGGTAGAATGCTGTGGTATCGCAGCTCACAGCAACCTCCAACTCCTGGGTTCAAGGGAGTCTCCTGCCTCCGCCTCCCAAGTAGCTGGGACCACAGGCGCCGCCACAATGCCAGGCTATTTTTTGGTTGCAGCCGTCGTTGTTTGGCGGGCCCAGGCTGGATTCGAACCTACTACCTTAGGTGTATGCGGCTGGTGCCTTAGCCACTTAAGCCACAGGTGCCAAGCCTCTATCTCTTTCTTGTGAGATCTCTTTGACTGACTCCAAGCTTCCTACTATAATTAGATGTTCATTCATATCTTCAACTTCCCGGAACCCTTCCTTGTTTTCTGATGCCTCCTTCCTGCTGCATTTGCACAGTGAGGTGTTTCTGCAGCTCTCTCAATGGACATGAATCAGGAGTACAATGGGTGCTGCCAGTCAGGTAAGGAGAGTCCGCAGTCCCCCACCTCTGCCCTCATCCTCCAGCCAGGGTCTCATCCACTTGCCTGTTTGCTTCTTACAGGAATGTAAGAGACAGAGTCACACTCTGTGGCCCAGACTGCAGAGCTCTGGTGTCAGCCTCGCTCACAGCAGTCTCCACTGCTAGGCTCAAGTGATCCTCCTGCCTCAGCCTCCTGAACAGCTGGGACTACAGGACCATGCCACCCACTTAGCCTAAAGCCGTTTTAATATATTACAATTTTAGAAGAAAACATGTTTTGTCTTAGTTTTCAAATTTATTGGCAAAACTTGTTTTATTGCTTATGATTCTGAAAATTTCCTATCAGAATATCTCCTTTTTGTTTCATTTTATTTTAAATATTTTTTTAGTTTGAAGTTGTTTAAGATTCATGAGAGGTTCCCCAAAGCAGTCCAGAGGGTCCATCCCTGTGTGCCCCATTCCCAGAGAGGATGCTATCCACAGCCAGGTCAAGGTCAACACCTATTACTGGCACCATGACAGAAGCCTGGGTGTGCACCTTGCTCAGCGACCCCATTTCCCCCTCACACATGTGTGTGTACAGGCCTGTGTAACTTCAGTGCATGTCGATTTAAGTAGCTGCCACCTCAGCAGGACACAGAGCAGTCCGATGACCACACAGAGGAAGCACCTTCTGTCACAACTGCAGACCACGTGCTGCCCTCAACCACCCCAGACCTGTTTCCTATCACTGTTACCTCACTGCTGGAGAGAGAAGGGAGCAGGACCCTACAAGCCCCTGGGGTCAGCCTTTCTCACCCAGCTCATCGCCACTGGCCTCTGCCCCACACCGCAGGTATCTACAGCGTGTTCCTCTGCCCATGGGGCAGGGCTCTGGGTACCTGCTATCAGACTGTGAGCACGCATTTAGCTCCAAAGAAATCGCCAAAACCTTCCAGACAGAGCTGTCCCAATGGAGGAGTGCAGGCTTACCACGTGTTTTCCTGTCACTTTTAGAGACCATCTGCCATGATCTCTCACACTTTGCTTCTGGCCCCTTCCCACCCTCTTTCCTGGGGTTGCTATGAGGATTGCCCGCTCCTCACCGTGCCATCCTCTCTGCTCTGAGACCTCTCCCCACCCTCCGTCCCTGGTGGTGTCTGGACCCTGGTCTGAGACCCTTCCCTGCCCTCTGCTGTGGTAGAATCTGCCCCATGAGTCTCTCTCCTGGCTCTAGTATACTCAGCCCTGCAGCTACAGCTGTGTCTCCTCCTGGTGGGCCACGTCACTCTGCAGAGTTACCCTCTTTTGTATCTTTGGCTGTGGGGAAGGCTAAGCTCCCAGGGTTGTCTGCCTCTTGGCTCCTGCGGGCTGGGCTTATGGCATCTTTCCTCCTTGACTGCTGGGTTCCATGTGACTGTGCGAGGTGGGCGTCTTCCTCTCAAGAGACCAACCCTGCTGTGCACCAGCGTGCAACAGTGCAGGGTCACCCATAACCCAAGTTCAAGATCTGACCTGGTGCTAATAGGCTGCCGCGACGTGAGTGAGGCACATCTGAGCTCAGCCCCGACTCTGGCATGTGACCACAGGGTTCTACCCTCTGTGGGCCCTGGTTGCTGCAAGCACACAACTGGCCTCTGAGCCGCTTCTTCTAGAACAGCAAAAATCGCGGGCCTGAGCTGGCACAGCCTATCCATTCCTGCTGTCCCCTAGAGCCAGGTCCTGTTCTGTTAATTCTTCGTGGTTGTCAGATTTTTAGAGAATCTTTTTTTTTTAAGAGACAGAGTCTCACTTTATCGCCCTCAGTAGAGTACTATAGCATCACAGCTCACAGCAACCTCCAACTCTTGGGCTTAGGCGATTCTCTTGCCTCAACCTCCCAAGTAGCTGGGACTACAGGCACCTGCTACAACGCCCAGCTATTTTTTTGTTGCAGTTTGGCTGGGGCCAGGTTTGAACCTGCCACCCTCCGTATATGGGGTCAGCGCCCTACCTACTGAGCCACAGGTACTGCCCAGATTTTGAGAGAATCTTGACAGTTTCACTTGTAGTCTGAGACTTGTGACCTGTGAGCCACAACCACAGACAGAAACCAAACAGGCCTCGTCCTCACACAAGGAGCCCTGAGTTGCCCTGCCGGAATTGAGGAGTACAGGCTGCCTCACACTGCTGCAGGTAGGAGCCTGTGGGTCCTGCAGCAAGGCTGAGACCGCGTGGACCAGGAGGAAGCATCACAACCCACTTCCAGCAACTTGAGCCAATATCCCAAGGACCCCATGCTGGGAAAACAATGGTCATGAAAAAATGAACCACCTCTACCTCCTGATGAGGCCAGGCAGACATGGCAAGGCCATACCTGTCCCAGATGGCACCCAGGCTGACCATGGCCAGAGGCCAAGGCCCTAGGACCTGCTCTCACTCTGCCCCCTGCCTCACACCAGACGGGTGTGTGGTTGTTACCTTCTCATGGATCTCCTGCGTGGACTGTGCATCACAGAAGGCCACAGTGGCCACGTCCTTCAGGATGGGCATCTCTACCGTGCAGTCCCGGCCGTCAAGTAGAGCCACCAGGGGCCGCGGATGCAGCGGCCCATTCATGATCGGAGGTCGGACGCCTGCAAGACAGAGCAGAGGGCTCAGTTCCTGCCTCACTGAGACCCATGGCCACACCCACCACGCTGCAGCCACCTGCCCACAGGGGCTTGAGAGGCCAGCCCTGAGGTATTCCTACTCTGAATGTCCAGTCACATGGACTCCTGTAAAAAGTAGACTAAATGGAGCTGGAGAATGTTCTTCTGAGCAAAGTATCACAAGAATGGAAGAAAAAGTATCCAATGTATACACCCCTATTATGAAACTAATTTACACCTTTTATATGAAAGCTATAACCAAATAGCCTAAGAATATGGTGAGGGGGGAGGGAGAAGGGAGAGGGAAATGGGTGGAGGGAGGGGGTTTGGAGGGACCCCTTCTGGGGTTTATCTTATAGGGGTACAAGAGAATCTTTCTAAGAGTAGAATGTGAACGTTTTAAAACAATAACTGAGAAAATGACATGAAGGCTGTGTTGACCAGTTTGATGGAAGTAGTTCGGATTGCATGTGAAAACCCCACACTGTACCCCAGAAGTGCATTAATGTACATAGTTACTATTCAATAAAAAAATAAAAATAAATAAAATAAAAAGTAGACTAAAAGCTGGTATTCACACTTGCAGGACAGACATGGTAGCTGCCCTCCAGGGAGCAGGCTGGGGACTCCGAATGTCCAGTCACATGGACTCCTGTAAAAAGTAGACTAAAAGTTGGTATTCACACCTGCAGGACAGACATGGTAGCTGCCCTCCAGGGAGCAGGCTGGGGACTCTCCAAGGCCTCAGGGCAGCTCTGGGAGGCCTGGCCCTGTGCTCCACCCAGCTGCAGGGGTACCCTCATGGATGTGAATGTGCATGGATGTGCAGATTACATAAGAAGGCCTCAGGGAGACACCCCCAAGTGGCCACCCAGGCCTGGATGGGTCCCAAGGGCGCCTTCCCCAAGCCCTGCCTGGCCCGTTTCTGCTCTTAGATTTGAAAAGGCAAAAAAGGCAAAATACAGTACAAAGAAGAAAAAGATTAAACACCTCCCAGCACAAGAGATTAAAAATATTAAAAATCAGACATAAGTAAAGTTCGCCTGGGACCCAGGAGGAGAAACAAGGGCCTCAGGCAGACAGCACTGGTGGCCACTGTCACCCCCACCATGACCAGCAGTGCCAGAGTTGGGGTGGGTCCAACTGTCCACCCCCCATAACTTCATAAAGATGCATGTCCAGGCATGTCCAGGCATGTCCAACCAGTGGGAGGGGTGCAGGTTGAAGACTGACAAGCAGAGTGACCAAGCAGGCTCCTCCACTGACCCCGGATGCAAGAGGCTCATGGCCAACTCTCAGTAGCCAACCACATGCTCAGCCCCGTCTCCTGCCCTGTCCTGTGGTGGGCACAGCTTAGTCACTCAAGCTGTCAGCAGCTGGGGGGCAGGGACACACCTCCAGGATTTGCAAACCAGGCACAACATGAACCCCTGTGGCGGCCGCCCTCCCCACCGCAGCAACAGTCTCACTGCGCTTCCAGGCCCAAGCGGATGCTGCTGGCGACGGAGCAGGTCTGCGATGACCACCCAAAGCTGGAACAGTGCCAGGTATGGGTCTGAGGCAACCCGGCTGAGGCCCCAGGCTTGGTGGGACCCACATCCTGTGCTGACCGCCACACACATGCCCCTCTGCTAGGTCTACATGCTCCAGTTTGTCTCAGGAGAGGACACTCCCCAACTCCCCCACTCGCTTTCACTCAGACCAGCTGCCACACAGCTACAGGGTCTGCACAGCCAGACCAAGAGGCCCTGACTGGACAGTGCCCACCTATGGTGAATGCAAGGTGCCCAGCATGGATTTGTCTAGCCGTTTCCCATACCCGACTGCAAGGACTCATCCACATGCAAATGGGCTGGAAAGAAGCCATGCCCACAAGGAAACACTGTAAGCTCCACCCTGCTGCACTCCCTGAGCTGGTGTCACCTGCTGCCAGCACCTACAACCTGACTTCTGATGAAGCGAGCATGGACATAATGTGGTAGAGCTCACGGGGTTCTCAGTGCAGCATCTGAACCACACCCAGGCCCCCACACAGATACTTGTAGGAACTGCAGGCTTGGCCTATTGAACTGGCGCTCAGCTTTACCCTGCCAACAACTCAGCCACATCAGGACTGCTCAAGGAGGACACCTCGCTACTGGTGTGCCCAGGGGCCTAGTCCCTCATGGAAGGCAAGGGGCAGTGGATAAGAACACTAGACCCTACTGGGCGGTACCTATCAACACCCACAGAGCTGCCCCAGGGAGGCCCCACCCTCAGTGGCCTGAGGACATGCCCAGGAGGTAGCCAGGCTCAAGGTAATGCTAACCTAACCCATGCTGGATCTAGCCTCACAGCAGGACCTAACCAGGTTGAGGATCACAGATAGGGCGAAGGGACAAGCTCAAGGCAGCCTATGGTCCCAGCCTTTCTGAGCTCTAGCCAGGGGTAGGTAGCTGGGGTTGAATGGTCTTAGCCGGGGTTCTGCGAGGCCCCAAGGCCTATCTGCTATAGGCAAGATAGGGCCTCAGCACCTGCCTGAGCACCTGTCCTGGGACACTTTCTGCACAGACATGACCCAGGTCTAAACAAGGCTGTGCTCTGCAGTCTGCTGCTGGTGGCCACGAGGACCACAGGGAAACCCCCCTGGGGGGACACTGGGTGTCCCCATCCCAATGCACATGTGCCATAGCAACAGCTGGGCCTGATGCCCACCTAGCCCAGGCCCCCAGCATTGAGGACTGTGCTGTCACACGTCCCCAGAGCTCCTCCTCCAACACTCACAGGGACTGGCTTCGCCTGCTGAGACTCTGAAACCCCTACCAACCTGACATTTCTTAATATGGGCTCGGTTTCCACGACCATGAATTCGACTTTTCAAAGCTTTTTATCTTCAGAATCCCCAGGCAGAACCGCGTCCTGTCTTGGAGCCTCATCCCACGTCTTTAATTGTCTCGAGCCAAAGCACTCAGGCTTCCGATCCACGGCAGCCACTGAAGCCTGCGTCGGGTTCAAAGTCTTACTAAAAATTAAACACAAGAGACACATTAAAACACCATCGAGGGGCTGACTAAAACTCTCAAACTCCAGGAAACTCCACAAAAGCAAACCTCTCACTGCTTCCGTCACACCCAAGACTACTGGCTGGGACCTACCTGGAAGGCCAGAGTTGCTGCTGGCAAGGGCCCTGGCTCCAGCCGCAGACATGCGGTAGTATGCTCACCCTGGGGTCACAGCTCCTCCCGAGGCTGCAGCACCCTGTGGCCTCCCGCCCCACCTAGACCCCCAGAGTCCAAGAACCAGAAGCCAAAGGCAGGACATGCGGCCAGGCCAGGGAGCTGCAGAGCCAGGTCTGCTGCTGGTTCTGGAAACTTGTAACTCACATTGCTGCTTCCTAGGCTGAGACCAGGCAGGGACACTGGATTTCTACAAGGCTGTGAGATGAGGAATGGAGCACTAGCTGCCCAGGGTCTCACCCACAATGTCCACCTGGACCCTGCATGGTGCCACCTGCCACCCCGAAGGCAGTGCCCCAGCAACAGTCACTCGATTCTGCCAAAAACACTGCTCAGCACAGAGACCAGAGTGTGGGACACCCAGACACAGGGGCAGGGAGCAGCAGGGCCTTGCCACCAGGTAGGCAGCATAGACCCATCAAGGATACAGCCAGGGAAGCTACGAATGGGTGTGGGTGTTGACTACCCAGCCCTCAGAGTGTTCTGGAGCCTCCCATACCCCTGCTGCCCACACACTGGCACCAGGGGTATAAAGGCTGACACAAAACTTGTATCCTTCACAAAAGAGACACTAAAGGACAACAGAAAACTGTGTGAGTGCATGCACCCCACAGGCGGCCCTGCTGGGACATAGATCACACACCACCTCCACCTGTCTAGACCATCAACACAGCTAATTGGTCAGCGCTCCACCCGGGAATAGTCAGCGCTTGTGAAACTGGCCCATACTTGCCAGACTAGCTGCTCTGAGGAAGCGGGTCCTAGCACCCACACACACCTGGGAAGGACCCATGGCTGCTGCCCTGCTCCACGTAGTGCTCTGGGCCGAGGGGCTGCACCTGCACCGCAGGAGCCTAGGGGGACATGATCCTCTGACCATAGCTAGCCCACAAAGCTGCCCCATGCTGGGCGCAGCCTCCTCTTGATAGCTGCCATCGAGTCCTGTGGCCCCGACTCCATATGAGGCCCAAAGACCCTTGGGTACCTCACCTCATATAGGGACCCAGCCTCCCATGTCTCCCAATGCCGTCTACACTGCAGGGGATGGACCCCACATCTGCCCCATACTCTGGAGGGCACAAAGCCCAGGAAACATAGTGTTTCTCAGAAACGCACAGCTGCTCACACCTCCTAGCACAATGCAGTGTCTGAAGAAACACCGACTGGGGGGCATGGTGTCTCCCCTCGCCAACACATCATAAGTAGTGGCGTGTAGTATGTGAAAACTCTGTGCACTCTTTATGGTTTTTATGTAAATCTAAACTGTTTTTAAATAAAAATTTATTTCAAAATAAGGCAAAAGACAGCAGATAGCTCCCCACCGATCTCCCAGGAGATAGGTTGTGGGGGCTGCCAAAGGGGGACAGCCAGATGACCCAGGGCCTCCTGATGCCATGCTGACCGCCCATATCACGCACTGCCTGCTAGGCCCTCCCTCCTATTGGCTATACCTACCCACCCAGCCTGGGCTACAGGGTGCCAGGTGTGGGTCCTCCCAATGGACAGCCCCTCCTAGGAAGGACTAAGGCCTACGCATAGCACAGCACAAGGACCCTTCCCTGACAACCCAGCTGACTGGAGAGTATCAGGTCAGGATCTGCTCCCTCACACTCCATCAGGCATCCCAGACCATCCCCCAGCAGCCGCTTTCCATCCTCCCCACCTGCTCCAGCCTAGATTCAGCAGTCACTGACACTGCCCCCATGTCCCTCCAGCCTCATGGTCCCATGAGCACAGCCTCCCCATCCCCACTGAAGACAGAGCATGCCACACCTCCTCTGAAGACAAACTGTGTCTCCAGTCCTGGGAATAAAATCAAACATTGCCTGTTCCCATAAACCTGGGCCAGCTCCTCTGGCCACCTGCCACCCCTCCTCAAAGCCAATGCCCAGGAGGGTGCCCTATAGCTGCAAGGGCCTGGCAGTTTTGACCCCAGGATGCCACTGTGCCCACAACTAGGCCCTGCCGAGCAGCTACCTGGCATTGGTGAGGTGGCTGCTTTGGCCCCACAGGCCTGGGGACCCAAGGACTAGGGCCTGGCTGTGCTGCCCAGGGGAGGGGCTGACCCAGAACCCTCTGGGCCAAGATGTGGCCCCACTGGGCACAGTCCAGAAAAGACATGGTACTTCTGGAGACAGCATCCACAAGAGCCAGGGAGTCCCTGCAGCCTGGGAAGACACAGAGCAAAGCCCAAAATAAAAAGCAGTGTGTGCTGCCAAGACCCACGTTCAGGGATGTCAGTGGGCACACACATCCCACATGTGGAGGTGGCGTCCACAGAGACACATGGTGAGCTGCTGTGGAAACGTGAACTCCACCCTCAGTGAAAGAGTGTAGCTCACTGGGTTCTCACCCCCTCCTTGCCCTTGTACATAGGGCATCCCAAATTATCCCAGCCTGGTATCTCTCTGTGGAGACCAACCCCCCCCCCCAGACTGTGGTGCCAGACACAGGCCTGGGAGGCCAGGCCACCATGAGGGCTGGGAAAGGGTCCTGCTGTAGGTCCGGCCATCTCCACCTGTCGCAGGCCCCCACTTCCAAACCAGCCGTCCACTTGCTGCTTTGTGAGCCAGCACCCTCTGGAGCTGGCCAGGAGCATGTGTAGGATCACCCAGAGGGGGACAATGGCTAACTAACGTTCAGCTGGTGGCCGGCCACCCAAAAGATTTCTGGCTTTGTGGGGGAAACACGACATTTCCTGGAGGCAGAGCTATGCAAGTATGTGGCCCCTGATGTGGCTGCACCTCAGAGACCATCCTGCTCCGGGCCAGCAGCGCTCCAGGTGCTGGGCAGACGCTGTTGGACCGGGGGGGTATGTGACCACAGCTGCAGACAAACTGTGACTATCAGGGGACTCCGAAAGAGGTGCTGCTGGCAAGCTTTCCATCAGGAACACAGTTAAAAAGGCAGGACCAGAATGACTCAAGTGGCTATGTCCCCCCAAGTCCCCTGAGCCAGGCCTCAGCCCTGGTGACACCAGCCAGACATGCTCTCTCCCACAATGAATAGAATAAGAACAGCAAGTCTTTCTAGCAGGGAGTGCCCACAGGATTGCAAAGCCGCAGGACACATGTTCCTTTGACTCAGGCACTCCATGGGGATATAGATGGCAGCGGGCACACAGATCTACCTACAGACACAGCATAGTGATACTGAGAGGTGCCAGTCCAACACTTCCCAGCACTGCAATACCATGCTGCCCATAACTCAGGCCAAGCTGCCCTGGGGCACTGGCCACATGAGGCTCACAGTGCAGGTGATGGTCAGCATAGGAAATCCTGAAACATGCTGGATCCCACCCAGGCCTGAGGGAACTCCTGGCCTGCTGAGCCTGGGGTCTCTTCTTACAGATGTGGTGACTTCTGCCAGAAGGGCTCCTCCTGTAAACATTTACTGAGCACTCACCAACTGGCAGTTTGCCAAATTATCAGTGTTCAGAGGGTGGTGACCCCCAGTCCCAGGCAGGACACACAGGGCTACTGGCACCTCCAGTCTCCCAGAACAGTGAGTCAGGGCCAGGCCGAGCCCACAGGACTGGGGCTTGTCTCAGGATACTCACCAGCACCCCCCCAAGACCATGCAGCCCATACATGACCCCCATCTGAGGTATCCTCAGGTTCACATATCCAGAAGAGACGTCCCTAGCCATGAACCCATCTGTGGAATTCCAGGGAGCCCATGAGCTGCCCTAGTTAAGGCTGAACAGGATAAAACTGCATGTTGGAGACAAGACAGAGGCCCCACAAAAGGCCCAGCAGCAGGAAGAACATTAAGTGCTCTTGAGAGGATGGGGTGGGGGAGCACCAGTAGGAGGCCAGCTGCAGCTATGTTTGTGTCCTCATGGTCACAGAAAGAGAGGAAGAGGCATCTGCAGCACTGGTGGAACAGGCAAGGCCATGCTCAGACCCAGTCAAGGTGACAGCCATGTGCACAGGGAGGCCAGGGAGAGGAGGAGAGAAGGATCTCAACTATAGCTTTGCATGGTCGCAGAGCTATGCTGACAAACTTCCAGGACAGACAACTGGCAGCTGCCAGACTGCTGTCCCCAGCAACAGCAGTACACACTGCCTCTGAGCATGGCACTGCCCCCAGCCTGGCCCTGAAAATTGCAAGTACCCACTGCTTAGACCGGCACATCACCACAGTTACCCCGTGGTTGCAGACGGTGACACAGAGAGGTCACATACTGACCAGGGCCCATTGGAATCTGCACTCTCAGCCTCTGTGGTCACTTTTCCAGACATTTGGTGAGGACATCACTTGCACAGGAGCAGCCTACACACAATTCACTGGGCCTAGATGCCAACACAGGGGCAAGGGGCACTTCTCTGCATGCTTGCTCACCAAATGTAAATGCATGGATGCATGGTCTGGTGTATCTGTATACTTGGTGGGCTAAACTAGAGGACATGGAGGGGCACAGACATGGAACTCGAAGGAGGAAACACTTAGCCGGACGGACCAGACCATCCTACCCCCCACCCACACGCTGTCCTGGCTCTGACTCACTCACATTCCTGACTGTGCAGGGAGAAATAGACCAACCTCCTGCCCTCTTCCCCAGTTAGAACAGCATTTTGCCCTGAGTGATTGCTAGGAAACCATCGCCAAGAGAAGGTCCAGCCCTGGCCAATTGGCCCTCTGTGGCATACCCAGAGACAGAGGATTGGGCTAGGCACCAGACAAGAGAAAGTTCTAGCCTGAAACTCTGCCGCTCAGGTGCAACCTCGTGGCCCTGGAAGAAGGAGCCCCTCAGGCGCCTCGCCCAGCCCCTCCCTGTCCGCACCCGGAACCGCCCCTCCCAGCAGGAAGGCCCAGGCTGCCTGCAAGCTCTGCAAAATGGCCACCGGCAGACCAAGGGACCTGCTAAGGTACTACTAGGCCTAGCGTCACCACTGATGCCGCGGCACCAGCCCAGGGCGGCCCGACCTCGCCTGCTCCCTCCCCGCCCCGCCCTCAGCCCTAGGGCTCAGGCCCGCAGGTCCTGCCAGCAAACGTGACGAGAGAAAGTGCCAAGTACAACCCCCCACAACGCCTACTTCAGCGGAGAGCAAGAGGATGGCTGCCCCCCACGCTGGCAGAACCCTTACGATTCTTATTTTTAAAAACGGAAAAGCAATTCAAATGGTGGGAGCCCTGCTACCAAATCTAACCACCACTGAAAACAGCCAGATGGGCAGTTGAGCCCTCTCCTCAGGGACAATCCCCAGTCCGAGGGCCACAACCTTCCCTCTGGTCCGCCGTCCCCAGCCCGGCCAGACTACAGCCTCTCAAAACTGGTCCTTGGAGGCTAGTCTTGTGGGCCAGCTGCGGAAGCAGGTGAAACGCGGCAGCAAGTGGTGGTGCTACAACAGGGAGGGGCCTTAAATAAGGCCGTGAGGTCAAGCGGACCGAGCACGCCGGCTGCTCTGGCTCCAGCAGGTGGACAGGGCTGGCGTCGGGACCGCGGCCAGAGATTGGGGGACGGGTGGGGCCGAGACTTAATAGGACCAGAGGCCAGGGCGTTCTTCCCGGAGCGCCAGGGTCCGGTTGGGTTGGGGGGTGCTTGGGGCAGGGCCAGGAATCCTGTGG